GTGGTGTTTCGCGATTTAGAATAGAGAGATGGGGACAATTTAGAACAAAGAGCGCTAGGAGAGGACCAGCTGCGAGAGCTAGAGAGAGCTGGGGGCGAGAGGGATACAACGGCAAGAGAGAGAGAGAGAGAGAACTGAGAATTGAGAGAGCTAAGAGAGAACAAAAATTGACCAAAAGTGTTATCTAGCTAATAAGTGGGCAATAAGTATGTATTTATCGATTATATTCGCAAAATGTGTGCGGAAAGGTAGTATTTCCAGATAAAATTAGGAAAGCAGTGGCAATAAGTGCTGTTTCCCAAAAGATTTGGTATATAATGCTTTTCTCACAAGGGGAGGACTGAATGTTCAAACTAGAAAAATGAAACAGGAAGGGGAATGGGAGATGTGCACTTCGTGAAAGAGAAGAACTTGCTTTGGATGGAGGGAGAGACATACTGAGCAAGGTGAGAGGATGATTCCAGTACAAGTCGTTAGCTTACAAGTGGTCTTCTTAGAGTCGTTAGATTAGATCCAACGACATCCCTGCAATCAAGAAACTAGTCCTGTAATTTTGTGACTAATTATTTGAAATTTGTAAACTAAATTCTGAAAATTCTTTACTAGCCCCTAGTCATAGATCATTCTAAATATTGTTACAATATCCACTGAGTACCAAACTACATTAAATGTACATTTGATCATTGTTGTATGAACCACATTCAGAAATAAGCAGAATAATAAAAACACTTGTGGATCACTCAGCGAGAGAATAGTTTACAGATCCAGTAGCCAAGTAGAAATGCCTTGGGTTATTCAGCACATGCTCACTAGACTGATTATACATAATCTGTAGTGTACTTTCGAATTCAAAACTCTATAAAACAAATGGAATGAGAGCCTTGACATTTTTGGGAAAATGATCAAACTTGGAAAGATACCATCTTCTCGTAGCACAGCTCCTTCCAATCAAGTATAAAGCTGACCCTATGGTGAAGGAGAATGCATACAGAGTTTGAGAAATAAGAGAAATCCCCACAAATCCTACTATTTCAAAAAGATAGTGGGGGCATATCACTAGTCCAAACAAACCGCCTTTGGGAATCTTATAATCCTTGTCACCCTTTGACCGAATTTTAGAAAGAAGGTAGTGATGGTAGAAATTGCCAGAGATCCCTATTAGAAACAGCAGACATCCAAGGTACTTCAAATCAACTGATGGCTCTGGAAACCCTTGTGCTAAGTATTGAGCGTAAGTCACAGTTGCGGTAGACAGAAAATAACTGAGAGAGATGGCCAACACACTATCAAGAATCATCCCTCCACTATAGTTGTGAACAAACAGAACCTATGAAACATGGAAAAACATATTTTCGAATGAGAAGCATCAGAAAAATTAACAAAATTCTGAATTTGAATCATAGAGTAACTGTTGTTTGCATGTAGTTGCTTAAACCTTCCCCCATTGAAATGTTCTTGTTTTCTATCTTACTTATTTATTTGAATTAAAACACACAAAAGTAAATCTCTATCATGAAAATGGATATAAAGGAAAAGCCCACCAGCTTAGCAGTTTACATATGCTCAGTAAGAGGTTTTAGAATTTGAATAGTCAAGTGATTAAACTTGTAGAAATGCTCAGTAAGCAAACTCACGAGTTGGTATAACCAGAGAGTAAATAGATGGCAACTAGTTTCAATTTGAAGATCACTGAAGAATAAATACTCAAGAACTCAGAGAAAAGATGAGGGTAGAGTCGTACCTCAAAAATCCTTTTGAAAAAATGAATGGTTAGGGCTGAACAAAGCAATAAGATTCTGATATTCTCTTGAGGATAAAGCACAAATGATGCGATACCAGCAAGAAATGCCGGACTATAAGCTATTAGCATGCCTGTTCTACTAGACAGTTTAATTTTCTTTGCAGCAGAGGTTTTAGAACCAGAATTCCAGAACTTCGAATAGTGTAAGTGCTTTCCCCTTAGCTCCGAAAGCCCAAGACTAGCCAATGATGTGAAGCTAATCACTGTCATTGCTGTGACGAAAAGAGAAGGAGGTGGTGGGAAAATATATGTCAACATTGTGGTGACTACCATGTAACTAGCCTTTGATTTCTCGCCCTAGATTTCTGTAACGATCACAGACAAATACGCTGTTAGGAAATATAAATGCCAGCAGATAAACACTTTCCTCTCCTTTTGTGAATTAAATTTTGGGATGAATAAGCTGAAAAAATAGTAAAATCTTTATGAAGGTATGAGATTTATCAAGTCTCATCACGTCTACACTATTAGAATTAGAAGAAGAAAATAAATTTCAAGGTATATAAAAACATTGTAAGAAGTACTACGTAAAGTAGGACACTCCTATGTCTATTGTTGTTATCACTTATGAAGGATGAGTAGCAAAATATTTGTGAGGAAGCAAACATTACCAAAGAAAAAAAAAAGAAGAGAGAAGGCACATCCTCTGATTAATACAATATTATTAATATAATTTCTAACACAACTAAACTCGAACAGAGAAGTAGAGTTTCACTGAAGCAACAGCTAAGCATACCAACTTAGTTATACTAACATGCATAATTCAAGATTCCATACACCATCAAAGCATGGAAAAAACAGTATGCGGTAAATTTTTTTCCATTTACACCATAATATAATTGAACTTGATAACAATTCTAATTAATGACCAAGACAATGCTATCACTAAAACCTGTCCAAAACTACAACTCCACCTCCAAATATTCCCTGCATCAACCAACTGAATACAACGTCCAATTCCAATACAAATGTGTAAAAGAGTTCGTAACTTGGAAAGCATACCTCCAAAGATCTTCCAAACAGCAGCTCCCAACACAATAAATGAAAAGCCAAAACCTGGAAACCAAAAAGCAAGAAGAAACATATTGAATACTTTTTTTTTCAGTTACAAAAATATATCGGAATTTACAGGAGAGCAGTTATAACTAGGGGTGGGCATCAAAACCGGAATACCGAAACCATCCCGAAACCGTGTCAAACCGTGTCAATTTTGTGCCAAACCGTTTGGTGTTGACGTGTAAACGGGATGATACCGTGTCATCCCGTTACTGTTTGGCACGACATCGGTTCCAACTTTGTGATCCTGTATGGTGTCATACCGTACCGAACAATAAATGTAAATAATAACCCTAACTTAATTAATTCAGTTCCTCCCCTCTCCCCACAGATTTCTTCTTCGACTCCTCTTTCTTTCTCTCTTGCGATTTTTTTTTCCTTTCCTTTCCTTTCCTCATTCTATAAACTCTAATCTAAAGCCATGATTTCCCAGTCGATCGATCGATCTCATCTTCTTCTCCTTCTCATCCTCCTCTCTCTCTCTCTCTCTCTCTCTCTCTCTCTCTCTCTATGTTCTTCTCCAAACCAAACCAGTGTAAAAGCCCCAACCCAAAATTTCTGTGTAGAAAAATTAGGGGGTTTCTGTGGGATCTTCTTCTTCAAACCCGTTTCCCTCTGCTACCAATTTCACTCTGATATCAGATTCTCAGGTATTCATAATATATGGAAAGTTCTTTTGGTTTGCAGATTTTTTACGGTATTGCAGATTTTTTACTGTATCAACATTGATACCGAATCATACCGATCCCGATTAGGTTCAGTATGGTTTGAACGTGTTTTCAAAAACTCTCATCCCGTGTCATCCCATACCGATTCTCCTATTCGGGATTGACACCGGGATGACCTCCATCCCGTGTCATCTCATACCGTGCCCACCCCTAGTTATAACTAAATAAGAGCTATGCAACATGTAATCTATCATCTATCACCATATAACTCCTTGAAAGGGTAGGCCGTAACCGTTGAAGTTTCTAAACTTTACACTTCATTCAATGTCTCGGTTACTTTTCTTATCTAAAAATGATTCAGTAGCATTTCCACATTTCCATATTTCCTCTAAATTCTCCAGATACACTACCTAAACATATCATAGTATACCAAGAGTTCTTGAATGAGAAAAAAGAAATAAAAAGGCAAGGGAGAGAGGGGGAGAGAGAGAGAGAGAGAGAGGCTACACTTCAAAATATTACAGTTTACTCTTTTTTCACATCAGTTTCTACAGGAGCTCCAATATTGAAATCCGATTCAGAACTGAACACTGAATCCAAGACGTACAGAGATCGAGCTTGAAACAATGAATATTTAAATAAATCGAGAAAAATAGTTAACGATATCAATTTTTTTGAATTTGAACGAAAATAATGTGCCGTATACATCAAGAATTGAAGACAACGAGGCCTCTAACCACATGAAAGCAGTAGGGAACATGATTCTGAACTATAAGAAAACTCATAATCAACATTGGGTGTTAGAGCTTTAGAGAATCGCACCTTGGGACTGTCACTGAGCATTCAACTTTGAAGTAATAGGGCTCGAGCAATAGTCTTCTAGCGAACAAGGAGCTGGAGCTCTTGAATGGTCCGGTGAGAGAGAGAATCCTAAAATTGTGAGAGAGGAAGAGGGAGAGCGAAAGCGAGAGAGAAGTGATGAGAATGTTCTGGTCTGAAGGAAAACCAAAATGAGTGAAATTTTAAAAAAAAAGTCATATTTTTAGCGGGTTTTCAAATATAATTATGGGGTTCCGTAAAAAAGAAAAATAATAATAATCAGGGCGCACGCTGTAATAGATTAAAAAAAATAAAAATAGACTTCACAGCGTATATCTAAACATGCCTTTAAAAGACACAAAAATTACATTTTTAAGGGGTGCTTTCACATGCCATAAATATCAGTTATTAACAGTATGCTTTATTATCTTTTTAAGGCTTGCTTTGCCATATACCGTAAATACCAGATATTAACAACATGCACAAAAAACGTGTCGTAAAAGCTCCAATTTGTTTAAGTTTTTCCAGTACAAGAATAAACCATAGATGCTGAAAATTTTATATATCGTTCAAATTCTTGATTTATATGGCACATTTGATTTGGGATTCGCTTGATTACTGTTGTTGTATTGTTGTTGTATTGCCATTGTAGTGAAGTTGTATTGCTAGTTTGATCATTGTTGTATGAACCACATTCAGAAATAAGCAGAATAATAAAAATACTTGTGGATCACTCAGCGAGAGAATAGTTTAAAGATCCAGTAGCCAAGTAGAAATGCCTTGGGTTATTCAGCACATGCTCACTAGACTGATTATACATAATCTGTAGTACACTTTTGAATTCAAAACATCTATAAAACAAATGGAATGAAAGCCTTGACATTTTTGGGAAAATGATCAAACTTGGAAAGATACCATCTTCTCGTAGCGCAGCTCCTTCCAATCAAGTATAAAGCTGACCCTATGGTGAAGGAGAATGCATACAGAGTTTGAGAAATAAAAGAAATCCCCACAAATTCTACGATTTCAAAAAGATAGTGGGGGCATATCACTAGTCCAAACAAACCGCCTTTGGGAATCTTATAATCCTTGTCACCCTTTGACCGAATTTTAGAAAGAAGGTAGTGATGATAGAAATTTCCAGAGATCCCTATTAGAAACAGCAGACATCCAAGGTACTTCAAATCAACTGATGGCTCCGGAAACCCTTGTGCTAAGTATTGAGCGTAAGTCACAGCTGCGGTATACAGAAAATAACTGAGAGAGATGGCCGACACAACATCAAGATTCATCCCTCCACTATAGTTGTGAACAAACAGAACCTATGAAACATGGAAAAACATATTTTCGAATGAGAAGCATCAGAAAAATTAACAAAATTCTGAGTTTGAATCATAGAGTAACTGTTGTTTGCATGTAGTTGCTTAAACCTTCACCCGTGGAAATGTTCTTGTATTCTATCTTACTTATTTATTTGAATTAAAACACATAAAAGTAAATCTCTAACATGAAAATGGATATAAAGGAAAAGCCCACCAGCTAAGCAGTTTACATATGCTCAGTAAGAGGTTTTAGAATTTGAATAGTCAAGTGATTAAACTTGTAGAAATGCTCAGTAAGCAAAATCACTAGTTGGTATAACCAGAGAGTAAATAGATGGCAACTAGTTTCAATTTGAAGATCACTGAAGAATAAATACTCAAGAACTCAGAGAAAAGATGAGGGTAGTCGTACCTCAAAAATCCTTTTGAAAAAATGAATGGTTAGGGCTGAACAAAGCAATAAGATTCTGATACTCTCTTGAGGATAAAGCACAAATGATGCGACACCAGCAAGAAATGCCGGATTATAAGCTATTAGCATGCCTGTTCTACTAGATAGTTTAATTTTCTTTGCAGCAGAGGTTTTAGAACCGGAATTCCAGAACTTCGAATAGTGTAAGTGCTTTCCCCTTAGCTCCGAAAGCCCAAGATTAGCGGATGATGTGAAGCTAATCACTGTCATTGCTGTGACGAAAAGAGAAGGAGGTGGTGGGAAAATATATGTCAACATTGTGGTGACTACCATGTAACTAGCCTTTGATTTCTCTCCCTAGATTTCTGTAACGAACACAGACAAATACGCTGTTAGGAAATATAAATGCCAGCAGATAAACACTTTCCTCTCCTTTTGTGAATTAAATTTTGGGATGAATAAGCTGATAAAATAGTAAATTCTTTATGAAGGTATGAGATTTATCAATTCTCATCACATCTACACTATTAGAATTAGAAGAAGAAAACAAATTTCAAGGTATATAAAAACATTGTAAGAAGTACTATGTAAAGTAGGACACTCCTATGTCTATTGTTGTTATCACTTATGAAGGATGAGTAGCAAAATATTTGTGAGGAAGCAACCATTACCAAAGAAAAAAAGAAGAAGACAGAAGGCACAACCTCTGATTAATACTATATTATTAATATAATTTCTAACACAACTAAACTCGAACAGAGAAGTAGAGTTTCACTGAAGCAACAGCTAAGCATACCAACTTAGTTATACTAACATGCATAATTCAAGATTCCATACACCATCAAAGCATGGAAAAACAGTATGCGGTAAATTTTATTCCATTTACACCATAATATAATTGAACTTGATAACAATTCTAATTAATGACCAAGACAACGCTATCACTAAAACCTGTCCAAAACTACAGCTCGACCTCCAAGTATTCCCAACAACAAACCCATCCACCATTACATTATATATCCCTGCATCAACCAACTGAATACAACGTCCAATTTCAATACAAATGTGTAAAAGAGTTCGTAACTTGGAAAGCATACCTCCAAAGATCTTCCAAACAGCAGCTCCCAACACAATAAGTAATAGGGCTCGAGCAATAGTCTTCTAGCGAACAAGGAGCTGAGCTCTTGAATGGTCCAGTGAGAGAGAATCCTAAAATTGTGAGAGGGGAAGAGGGAGAGCGAAAGCGAGAGAGAAGTGATAAGAATGTTCTGGTCTGAAGGAAAACTAAAATGAGCCCTCCATTTTGGATAAGGGAAAATAACCAAAATGAGCCCTCCATTTTGGATGAGGGAAAATAACTAGAAATTTAACTAAGAGTCAGTTCAGGTAATTTGAAAGTTAAAGGACTTTGTTTATATATTTGCTTGGCTTAAATCTTCCCATCAGAAATGGATAAACCATTTATGCCTAAACTAGCTGCCATGAATGAAAGTTTTTGAAATTGCTCATTTGCAAT